GTGAGAAAGAGAGAGAGAGAGAGAGAGAGTGAGAGGAGAGAGAGAGAGGAGAGAGAGAGAGAGACTGCACCGGGCAGGAGAGAGAGGAGAACGACGAGAGAGAGAGAGAGAGAGAGAGAGAGGAGAGAGAGAGAGGTGAGAGAGAGAGAGAGTTAGCCAACAAACCCCGCACGCTGCCGATCATGAATGTACTAAATAAGACACAAGACGAACAGTGAGTGAGTGAGTGATAACGAGAGTGGTGGAGAGTGTGGAGAGTGCGTGTGAGAAAGAGAGAGAGAGAGAGAGAGAGAGAGAGAGTTAGCCAACATAACCCCGCACGCTGCCGATATGGCGGAGCGCCACTATCGCCATCTGTTGTAAAACGTGCGAGATGGACAAATTACCACTACATGCATCTTGCATGTGTTGTGTACGTGTGATATATGTGTGCGCATGTGTTGTATACGTGTGAATACGTGTAGCACGATACTACTATGTATGCGTGGTCGATGATGATAATGATGATGATAATGATGATAATGATGATAATGATGACGGGGACGTTTCTTAATAGAAATTTTTCATATTCGACTTTGCATTTATATATCTCTGCTTACAAATCACGTAGAGCAGAAATAAAGACACTTTTATTATATAATTAGAACTCAATCTATCGATTAAGTCTAGTATAAACTCGATTGCTTCAGCCATTATTGAGGATTCGAAATATTATAAAGACTCAAATGTCCGACTCGCGTTAAGATACACGGTGTCTCCGCTACGCCCTTAACTGGTCGCGAGACACTACCGTGTCTCTTGATTATAAATCGTATTAATTTTATACTTATACGAGTCATCCTATTAAGTATAAAATTAATACGATTTATAATTTAGTAGACTATGCAATTTTACTTTCAAACGAACAATTTCATAATACAAATATTGAGATTGTAAAGAACATTTTAATTAATAATTGATTTCCGGATCGTATTATTAATAAATATGTAAATAAAAAAATTAATGTATTAAATAATAATAGGAATGTTAATTGTCACAATGCGGATAATAACGATAATTTGAATAATGATTTGGATAATAACGACAATGCAAATTCGACTCGAGATAAGAATTACTATATGTGATTTCACTTCCATAGTTAAAGACGTTAGCGACAGTATTAAAAGGCCACTTAAAAATGCTAACCTTAATTTCGTTTATAGTTTGCCAAAAAGTTAGATAGGCTGATAAAACGAGGTAAAGATTTAATAATAATGATATAAAAACGAATGTAGTATACAAGATTAATTGTGAAAATTGTAATGCCTCATACATTGGACAAACGAAAAGACATTTATGCACTAAAGTGAAGGAACATGCGAGCAATATTAAATTACATGAGTCTAATCATTCGGTTTTGAGTAAACACAGATGTGATTTTGGACATGACTTTAATTGGAAATCACCGACCATTTTACATAATGAGAACCATGTAAGAAAGAGAGAGATTGCTGAAATGTTCTTCATAAAGTAGCATGATAATACTGTTACAGAAAGACACTGAGACTTTGACAAATATTTACGACAAAATAATAAAGATTGTTTAGTAGTGCGTTTCAAATTTAGTTGTTGACGAAATATTATAGCGATGGGACGTGTTCCTTTTTTAACTATTAATTTTACATAAGATCGGTTTTATGTTGCGTTAATCTCATTTTAATTGATGGGTGTTTGTGTTTATGGTCATAACTTAACATTTAAATATGTTCTTGTATGTTTCAACATTGTTAAAAATTATTATGTAATATTGTGTTATAGAATTCTCACTTGATAAGGACCACAACCAAATGGTCGAAACGTCGTGAAAGTATTGAATAAAATTGCTAGTTACGTCGAAATCAATTTTGCCAAGTTATTTTTGCAACTAGCTTCCAATATTAATTTTGATTGATAAAATATAATATCAAGAAATAAAATTGTGTAACTTAAATAATGTTTAATAATAGAAGTAGCGCGATTTTATAAAATGTCCGTTATTTTTTGGCTTCTACTGACATTATTTCTTAATGTTTTTTTAGTGTAACAATTCTGCTATTTTCCTAAATCTTCTACTAGATATATTTTTAATTTCACTCTTTTTTATTACTTTTTATATATTTATTTTACTTCTCTCATAGATCTATCTTCTTTATATTAATTTCTTATCCTTTGTTTTGTCTTTATCTTCTTTATTGGTTTCGTTATTTCTTTTTTTAATTATTTTCTAATTCTAATAATTCTTTGAATACTTTGCTCAAATGTAATCTGTATTAATTCTTACTAATACTTAAAAATTGAATAAAATTATTAAATTTAATTTAAAATAATTTATATTATTTATTGTCAATATATATTATCATTAATTTATTAATAATATAAATGTAAGATATATAAATATGGTAGATATACAATATATGAATAGAATTGCAATTTTATATTTTGCTCTTAGAGTTTATTAAAAATTTTTTATAATATTAACATTATATACATACAAATTTAACATATTTGTAATGTTTTTCTTATATATTTTACATACTTTGTTTGAATTTAGCCAACAGATATTGCTTTAACAACAATGAATTATTGGGCTGTGGAAAAACATTGTCCTCTCATAAAAATAATACGAAGTTATGAGCATTCTTTTAGCCAAACAAATATATCAATACAAAATATCGATACATTAGAAATTCCTTGCTTACCGATAACTTTTACTACTCAGACGGATTCCAATTTTAGCAATTTCTTACATTTTTCATTATGCAAAGGACATTTAATTTTATCAACATTTAAAGAGGATGGTTGGATGATTTTCAATATACAACAAATTGGTAAATATCGACTAATTGATTATGACGTATAACTCGAGTATATTTTATACATACATAATTATTATTATTTCATATTTTATCTATTTTATTCATTGTCGCATAAAAATCTGAGATGTTCATTGTAAAACTATAATAGTTTTAAAATATTTTGTGTAATTTTCTGCATTATTATATATGTATAATTAAGATATACATCTGCGTTTTCTATTATAATATCAATCAATATTAAAGTTATAGTTTCACAAATATTTTAATCTATAAAAATAAAAATGATTGAAAGTTAATTATATTTATAAAATAAGTATAATAATATGTACAAGTAAAACATAGAATATTCGTAAAGTTACATGCAGAAACTTTACTAATTAATATAAAATAATTATTACATAATTTATGTAGAGCTAGAGTCAATTTTATTTTATTCTATATAACACTATCTTGCACAGCTTTATTTATTATTTTAATTAATTTTCTATATGTATTTGCATTTTATTTATATGTATTAATTTTTCTGATTTTTAAATTTATAATTATATAAACAAAAGTAAAAAACTAAAATGTTTGAAAATAAATATATTATAATAATAAAATTATTTAAAATAATGAATATTTATAAGATTTATATACTATTCAACAGGATATTATCGCGTGAACTATGATGATGAGAATTGGCGAAGAATTTTATATTATCTGAACTCTGATAATTACACGAAAATTCATGTTCTTAATCGTGCTCAAATTGTCGATGATGCATTTCATTTAATGATAGCAGGAGAACTCAAATTCATTATATTCATAGATGTAATATCGTATTTGCATCGAGAAGAAGATTATATAGCATGGTATCCTATGTTTAAAGCTCTGGAATACATATTTAGCACTTTTTCTGTAGCCATGATGCAAGTTAAAATGTGGACTTTTAAGGTAAATTTTAATAAATATTAATAGAAGTATTATATTTCAGATATTTGCATATACACTTATTAATTACAAAAATTTTAATATTCAAAAAAAATACCGCAACGATAAAATTTTACATAATATTATACGTCGCAAACAAATGTGCTTTAATTATATCTTTTAAATATTATAAATATTTCGCATAAATTAAAGCATATTTTTCATATATGTATGTATATTTGAACGTATGTACGTGCATAAATAAACGCTCGCGTCTATAAGTAAATTTGTATGTATGTTTGTCTTAAAGAAAGAGAATATTTTAAGAATATATTAGTAAATAATAGAAAAATATAAAAATTTTTATAAATAATTTATTAAGTTCGATTTGACTGGTCAATACAAATCGTATTACACACAACGTTTCGACCTTTGGATACGAGCCCTTATCATGTATATTACTCAATATCATGTCTTTCACTTTAACATCTTGAAAGCACCACTTGATAAAGGCTCGTACCTAAATGCCAAAACGTTATGCGTGATACGATTTGTATTGACCAGTTTGATCAAACTTTAATAAATCATTTTTAATTTTATTAGCGCCTTTATTTTAATCTTTTGAGATTTTAATAATTTTTAAATACATTTCTAATATAAACAAAGAAATATATATTTAACAATTTTTAGAATTACATAAACCATGCATTAAACGAGGTACTTAAAAGAATCAAATATGAAGAAATTGATGATAGTGACGACCTTAGAAAATGTTTACGACAAGAAGCTGCAAGATGGGCATGTTTTTCGGCGACTTCGAATGTAAGACAGAAGCCAACAATAAATTAGTACAACATCTACAAAATTCTATAAAGCACAAGTAAATATTGTTATATATCTTTAGTCTTTCTTAATCATTCTTGTAGGTATCGCCTATAATATTTAAATAATTTGATCAAGAGGTCCATATGCTAAATTTTAATAAGAAAATTAATTTTTTTTATATTTTAGACTTTTGCCATGGTGGAAGGAATGGGACATATTGTAACGGTTTCATGATAATCAACGAAAAAATCACTTGGCAATCAGTGTATGATGTAGGATTGAATAAATCTGACACTAAATTTTTAGAATACTTGGCTTGCTCTGAAGATACTGATGTCATCAATAATTATTTAAACAATCTAATATACTATTACCAGTACAATTATAGGAAGGACTATCAATATCTTTTTAACAGTTTGTTATATTAATATTATTACGAAGCATGCGAAGAATCAAATTACACTGCAGTACATATTAAACAATTTTCAAAAAATAAAACCAAGGTAATGTGGCATACTTTTATAAATATTGTGTACAAAAGTTTATTATGTGTTATTATACATCTGTTTATCGCTTTTAGTAGTGATATGATACCTGCAGTATTTATTATTATTATTAACAACGTATATTTTGTAGATCAAACTGAGGTAAAAATTTACATGTTTATATATGTATACAAAACGTGATAATAATGCGTTATTTATAATTATTATATAATGTTTATAATAATTTTCATAATGTTATAACAACGTTATTTATTAATAATGTTCATAAAATAATACATTTTAGCTAATAAAGGAATACGTCGAAACATGGTACACGACATTTGCAGGCACGTTTCATAAAATGAATAACACAGAAGATTTACTGAAAAAATATCAATTAAAGGTAAATTTAATAAATATTATTATGGAAAGCGAAAGAAAAAGAAATATGTGTTCTATTTTATCAATTTCTGAATATTAATTTTATATTTGTTTTGTTTATTATATAAACGGTATATTGATTTCATTGTATAAATCTTTGTTTAAATATATTAGGATTCCATAATAGAGAATTTGGACAAAATTAAGAGCAAAGTATTAATTCGCAAGAAACAAATCAAAAGAGAGACACAGTATTTTGAAAATTTTTTTTTCTAATTGGTGGATGTAAAAAAATTGCAGCTTTGCATACGGACATACCATTATATGAACAATTTTTATATTGTATGCATTATTTTTTTACTGCTTTAATTATTGTTTATTTAAATGTATTACTATGAAATGCTTCTGTATTTACAAACTTTATGACTGCATGCATCAATAATACTATACAGCTATATAATATTATAATAAATTTTACTGTTGAATATAATATAAAAATATAAAAATAATAATATAAAAATGTGTAAATATAAATATATAAATATGATTGTAAAATGATGAATGCACCTAAATGTACTATCTATTTATTTTGTATTATATATTGATTTGTTTTTAATTTTTTTCCGTTAATAAATAAAATTATATGTTTACGCGCGCACGCACACACAAGCATGCACGCACGGCGGCACGAACGCGCGCACGTACGCGCAACATAGACACACATATATTGAATTATTATTTACTTATTATAAACATTTATAGCCAACATATTTATATTTATACGTACTATTAAATTCTTTATTATTTAAATTGTACATGTATATATGCGTATGCATGTGTGGGTGTTGTGTGTGTGTGTGTATATTATAGTAATACTATATTATATATTACGTGTATTATATATATATATACAACTCATATTATATATTAAATGTATTATAATATTATAAATTAATATATTATAATATTAATGTACGTATATATATATATAAAACATAATGTTTGTATAACAATAAGAATTAATAATATGTTAACGTTATTAAAAATTAATTTTAATTATATGTGCCATACATATTCAAAAAATAAAAATTTTTACATTTAATATGTTATTATATAAGATTAATTTTTATTTATCAGTTTACAATAAATCACATGACACAATTTCTCTCTTCCCTCTCTCCTTTTTTCTTCTCCACTCCCCTCTCTCTCTCTCTCTTCTCTTTCCCCTTTCTCCCTTCCGCCCTCTCTCCCTCTCCCCCCTCTTTCACTCTCTCTGTCTCGTTCCCCTTTCCCTTTTCCCATTCTTTCTTATGTAAATCCACATTTTAATTTCACAAAGTTATCTATATAAAACATTAACAAAAAAGTGATCCGATTGCCAGTTGAAATTTTGAAATAAATATAAAAAAGAATTGATTGATTGACACTGGCTAAGGTAAAAATCTTTTATTAAAAAAGATACAACGTTTCGACCCCGAATTGGGTCCAGGCTACAAAAATTAAATTATACATCTTAGTTAAAAAAACATAAAATTATCAATAAACAACAAGAGTTAAATGATAAAGGAGAAGAATTTGAAGTAAATGTCGATCCTAATTCTTTTTCAGATTCTAATCCGAATCTTTTTAAAAATAATAATAATTGGTTTATTAATTTATCTAATACTAAGATACCAGACAATATAATTAGTATGCTTCAATTAGGTGAAAACTTTAGTCTCCCGAATAATAGTAGGGTACAATTAACCATATATTTCATAAAATATTTTGAAAATAATCTAAAAAAGACTGCCTCCTGATAAAAGAGTTTTTGTTAGTGAAAAATCTAAGATTGTGGTGAATGCGATTAATCAATACTGATATCCAGATAACGGTTTTAATAAAATCTTATTAGAGTTGAGTGTAAACACTAAAAAATTTTTGGATGAAAAACCCGAATTTTATTATCGCAAAGGCTGACAAGGGAAATATTACGGTGGCGTTAGATAAAGACAAATATTTAGAGGAGGTTGAAAACATTTTTAAAGATAGAGATACTTACATTTTGGTAAAAAACGACCCTACAAATAGTATAATTTCCAATCTCCATGATCTTTTAGTGAGATGGAAAAAGAAAGGTTTAACATCAATTAATACTTACAGGTATTTATCGTGTAGTGATGATAATCTTCCTAGAGCTTATGGATTACCGAAAGTGCATGAAATTAATTGTCCCTATAAAGTTATCGTCTCGTCTATTAATACACCACTTTATAATTTAGCAGTTTTTTTACACAAGATATTAATAAAAAGTATCCAAAAACTGGTAGTTATACAGAAAACGGCTTTAAATTAGTGCAAAAATTTTCTACATTACAGTTAGAGAATAATTCGAGTTTGATTTTATTAGATGTTGTGTCACTCTTTACTAATATACCGGTAGACTTAGTTTTGGAAGATTTATCGGAGAGATGGCAATTCATTACTGATAATTGCAGTCTTAGTAAATCGGAATTTTTAAATGGCATTAGTTTAATATTAAACTCTACATTTTTTACTTTTAACGATGCTATATACAAACAAACTTATGGAACTCCGATGGGTTCCCTCCTTTTTCCAATAGTTGCTGATATAGTGTTACAAGATTTGGAATCCAAAGCTCTACATTTACTTAACTATAAACCGGTTTTTTTCCACAGATATGTAGATGACCTTATATTCTTTATATTGAGAGCCGATAAAAATATTTATTTCTAAATATTTAATGTTTAAATAATTTTGATAATATAATAATAACGTTGTCTATTAATAATGACAAAAATAATACATTTTAGTATATAAACGTATACGTTATACATATTTGATGACCACTGAAAGCTTATATGTTGGAATGAAAGAAAAGGTAAATTTAACAAATATTATTATGGAAAGCGAAAGAAAAAGAAATATTGTTCTATCTTTCTCTTATTAATTTTTGAATATTAATTTTGTATTTTTTTGGTTATTATATACAGTATATTGATTTTATTGTGCAAATTTTTGTTTATATATATTATAGGATTCCATAATACAGAATTATGTCAATATTGTAAACAAAACATCAATTCGCAGAAATCAAATCAGAAGACAAAAATTACAGCTTTGCATACGTGAACATACTTCATGGAAATAATTTTTCATATTGTATATACTATTTATTTTACTGCTTTAATTATTGTTTATTTAGATGTTTTACTATTCAATGCCTCCGTATTTACAAAACTTTATAACTGCATGCATCAAGTTTTCTTTTGCAATCTTGTTTAAAGTAGTTGAAATATATATATTATTACTTGTGTAGTCACAAGAAACCCTTACAGAAATTTATCACTATAGTTACGCCAATTAATCACTTATTAGAGTACTTAAAATACTGATATACAGTAATTTAAGTACTCAAAATAAATGATTAAGTACTCGAAATAAGTGATAAATTGGCGTTACTAGTGATAAATTTCTATAAGGGAAGTACCCATATAATATTATAATAAATTTTACTATTCGATATAATATAACACACACATATTGAATTATTGTTTAATTTTCTATTATTTAATTATTATAAACATTTATAGTTATTTATATATATAATATATATATATATAAACTATTAAATTCTTTATTATTTAAATTATATATGTATGTATGTGTATGTATAAAAATAGTAATATATATATATATATATATATATATATATATATATATATATACGCGTGTATTATATTATATTACAGTTCATATCATATATTAAATATATAATTAATACATTATAATATTAATTAATGTATGTGTACGTAAAATATGTTTGTACAACAATAAGAATTAATAATATGTTAACGTTATATAAAAACTAATTTTAATTATATGTGCTATATACGTTCAATATTAATAGGAGGAGTTTCCTTAACGCGGACGGCACCTATAATACCGGATATATATCATGTCTATATAAATAAAAACGCGATCGAATGGTTATATCGATGATAAGACAGTGAAGAGGATAGTGATCCCTATTACCGATACTCGTATAACCATTCGATTGTATTTTTACTTACATAGACATGATATATGTCCGGTATTAGGTGCCGTTCGGCGTTAAGGAAACTCCCTCTATGTTAACAATAAAATATTAAATTTCGTTCGCCAGGAATGAAATACTAAGGTAGTAGATATTAAACTGACTACACTGGCTGTCTATTAGATTTGTTAAACTATATTTATTGACGTTTCGACCATACGGGCTGTGGTCCTTTTCAAAATTACAATAGAAGCACACAAGTGAAACGCAGTTAATTTACCATCCGATCTTAAGTTAAGTCTCACCGGAGCGTACTTTTAAATGTCAATAACGATATGCAGTAACTCATTGTAAGTCTCATTTGTTACATTTCACGTTTTCAATTTAAATGTTGATTCTGATGGCATGTACATTAATTTCTAGAATCCCTCTATGTTATTATATAAATTTGTGATTGATTTTCATTTTTTGATCTACAATAAATTAAATCACATAAAACAATCTCCCCCCCTCTCTCTCTCTCTCTCTCCCCTCCATCTCTTGCGTAATCCACATTTTAATTTCAATAAAGTTATTTAAATAAAATATATTAATCTTAATATTATAATATTTATAAAATTATATTACATAACTTTAAAATTGTACAACATAATTCGTTTACGACAAGAAGCTGCAAGATGGGCATGTTTTCACGATGACATCACTTATAAGAAAGAAGCCAAGAATAAATTAAAACAACATATCGAAGGTACTGAAACACATAGGTAAATATTGTTATATATTTTTAGCCTTCCTTAATCAAATTTTCTTATAGGTATTGCCTAATGTTCAAATAATTTGATCAAGAGACCCATATGCTAATTTTTAATAAGAAAATTTAATTTTTTATATTTAAATTTTTGCCATAGTGGAAGGAATGGACATATTGTAAAAGTTTGATGATAGCCAAAGAAGAGACTTGGCGATTAGTGTACGTTATAGAATTGAATAAATCTGACACTAATTTGTTAGAATGCTTGGCTTGCCCTAAAGATATTAATATCATTAAAAAGTATTTACCAATTAAACAAAACATTTTTACAGAAAAAAAATATTCAAACTCTTTCAACAGTTTTTTATATATTATTACGAAACATGCGAAGAATTAAATTATACTGGAGTACATATTAGATCATTTTCACGAAATAAAATCAAAGTGGCATATTTTTATAAATATTGTGTACAAAAGTGTATTATATATACATACATCTGTTTTATCGTTTTTACATATGTTACTA